CTGGTAAATATATATTTATATCATTACAATGTTTCAGTTTAAATCAATTTTTTATGAAATTGTAAATGACATTTTCTACCTATATATTTTTTAGGTTACTACTTCAACCCAAAATTTTTCTATTTGACACCTGAACAACCCCACAAGATTATGGAAGGGGTCAGATACATTATTGCAAGGTTGGAGAGAAGCCATCAAAACCAAGTATTAATGTTTGGGTAAGAACTTCATTGAGTTGTTATATTTGTGAAGAATAATGCACTAAAACGTAATATATTTGTTTTAGCTTGCTATGTATAGGGATGCTATAGGATCCTTCGGAACTAGACTTGCCAGGAATTCTCGAACTGTGATGGATCCAGGTTATCCCCTCGCTAATATTTTGTTCATTCATATATTTAATCTTATGAATTGTTCTTGCCCTTACAATGCTTTTTGCATTTTAATCCAGCTGAATGTTGGGAGATATATGGTACTGATGCACCTCACCTAAAGAGAATAGCAATCAAGGTACTCTCCCAGACATGTTCTGCTACTGGCTGTGAGCGCAACTAGAGTACGTTCCAATGGTTGCACACTACTAGGAGGAATCGACTCGCTTCTGAAAAGCTTCATAAACTAGTCTACGTTCATTATAATTTAAACCTCAGAGAGCAACAAATAAGAAGGAAGCTTGAAGACTATGGGCCAATAGACTTAGACACAATATTTGTCACAGACACATCAGACTAATGGGTAGTAGAAGAGGAGGAGCCAGTGTTGCACAAGAGAGCGTTCCTTGAGGCTATCGGTGATGAAGATCTTGAAGAAAGTGATGAGCAGCATGAAAGAGGAAGCAGCCAGCCAACGTATCCACAATTCGTTGGAGATGTCGGTGATATTGCACCTAATGAGGGAGAGTGGGAACGGGGTCTAAGAGAAAATGAGAGAGATGATGATTCTGAGGCCACCCTATCCCAGCCATATTATTCACATATCGAGTCCCAACAGCAACAGTGTAGGGATGAGCACGACAATGCAGGTGAGCATGAATAATAGACAAGCTTCGGGGATTTTCGATTGGGAATATAACAAAACACTAACACTCAGGGATTTGGGAATAGTTAGATGCCTGCTAATATCGAAGATTCCTTTTTAGATCGAATCAATGAATTGTCAAACGAATTCAATCAATGGCACCAGCGTGACCAAAAAGAACAACAACGTCGTCTATCATTTTAGTTTTAGATCGTATGTTACTAATTTTATGCTTTATTGTAGTCCATGTATGTTGATATACTTATTCCATGATAATTCTATGTTTATCCTTTTGTGTGATGTAAATTAAATGCTGAATGGCGGTTCATGCAGGAAAAGAACATATCAATATTCGCATATTCATTCAAAAACATGAAAATTCTTAATGGAGTACCCTCATTTCTTATTGAATTCCTAAAAAATAATATTTATAATGAATTTTAATAAATTTTTCGGATTTTTTTGAAGCTTTATTATGACCGATTCACCCGATTCCCGATCCGGATTGTCGATTCGCCGATCCGGATCGGTTTTTTGGGTGCCCAATCCGGGTCACCGATCTGTTTTTTAAACCATTGCATTAAACCCTTCTCAGTAGATCTATATGCCCAAGTATATTGGGTTTTTCCAAACTTCGACTGGCCTAGCTCGTCGAGCCTAGTCCTAGTATCAGCAAATAACATTTGCCTAATAAGGTTCATAAAAAGACCGCACTCTCACTAAGTTTATGTTCCACTATATAAAATACTCAGACAAGCTCTTATAAAGCCTTTAAAAGCCACATAAACCCAACATAAACAATTTAATTTCATTATGATCATAAGCCTAAAATCAAAACCTATGTGAAGTGCAATTTTGGACTTTTTGGGGATTTTGTATTTAACTTTTTCATTATTTATTGAGATGCAGTAAGATGGATATGATGCAATTTGGAAATAAATTATTATGAATCATGTAGGTATAGGGAGAGACGAGAGATAATTTGACATATTAAAAGATAAGATAATATGATCAGAACCATTTAATGTGTTTGTTATATTTAATTTTTTCATTATTTAATGAAATGCAGTGCTATGATGTAATTTGAGAACAACTTATTATAGATCGTGTGTGTGTATGTGTGTAAAGTTTTTATTGAGCCTAGGCTATAAATAATCAAATTAGAGCCCAGCTCAAAAATTCCACTAGAAGAGGCTGTTTTGATACCTCAATATCCTCGAATTAATCATCTTGACATAAAGATACATGAACAGGCGAAAAAAAAGGATTTCAAGTTTTGGAAATAGTGCATCTTGTAACGCATTTTTTTACCGTCAATTTTCAAAATTTTTAAGTTTATACACTATTTTTGAAGCTTTAAATTTTATAATTAAAAATAAAAGTATACTTTAAGGCAATCACAAAAATTTCCAGTTTTTAAACCACATCTCTCGACCCTAGTTGAAGGTGCGCTTTATTTTGATTGTTTAGAGTATCGGCTCTATACAAACTGATATATATATATATATATATATATATATATATATATATAGTAGAGAGAGAGAGAGAGAGAGAGAGAGAGAGAG